AGAGCGTCCCTTTGGAGCAGGCACCAGATGGAAGGCCATCTCCCAAACCTCCTCCTGTTCTCCTGTAGATCCTGGTCAAGTGGAAGAAATGGGATTCCTCCTCAGCATTCCAGGGGCAAAGGGCAGAGCTGACTATACAATTATCTCCTGGAATATCTCCTTTAGCAGGGATGGCACTGCCTGCTTTCTCCCACATGAAGAAGGATCACAGAAGTTATCTTGGTGAAGGAGTAACATAATTCTTATCTTCATGGCAATTGCTCACAATTGTTTAATATGTTTTCAATAAGGGCTTCCCAGAAAATATGCCAGGTTCATGGAGTAGAGAGATTTAGTAATCTGAACAAACCCTTCCACCTCCTTTTGTTGTGGTTATCAGCATCTTTAGACTTGCAATGAAAATCCTGCCATGATGCAGGGTACTTACAAAGGATTCCTTGCTTTCAGATAAGTAGAATCATTCAACTATAATCCTGAACTTAATTCAGAGTAAGAGGTAGAAAGTGTGGATTGCTATTTTATTCTCAGAAGGTTGTTTTGTAGCTGGGTGACATATAAGGTCACGAATACAGCAACAGTGACCAATCACCAGGACCCAAATAGCCACACATAAGGAAGAAACACCAGCTACTTTTCAGGCTTTTAGACAGTAGAGCTTTTTATCAGGTCTTTTTATCAGGTTTTTACTGGTCTGTTGAGAGCCAGAGTTACTTCTGAGATGGTTTCTCCTGTTCTTTCTAGAAGAAAATACTATCATTTTATCAATAATAATTATTACTATAGGTGCTATAATGAGGAAGCTTTGGTAGATAACTTGGGTGTATGGTGTAATATACAAACCAGAAAGAATCATGGGTTCTCTTTCAAAAGTACTTCATAGTTCAGGGTTATGAGGCACATAGTATACATCACTATGTAAGAAAAGGATGTAAATAAATGATCATGATGTGCTGTTAGTATGTGTCTTAAAACAGTGATGGGAAAGTGAATTGCTATAAAATATAGGTACTTGTCAGCTTTAGAAATAGTACAATGGCTTGTTCCTCCTTGTCGTACCTGCCTGAATGCCATGGCACCAGACACACTTCTGCTCCTTAGCTGGTATTTTAATGGTGGGATGCCAAGCCAGACTAGAGTAATAACAATGTTCAGAAAATATAGATGGAGCTGGGCGGTGGTGGTGCACGCCTTTAATCCCAGCACTCGGGAGGCAGAGCCAGGCAGATCTCTGTGAGTTTGAGGCCAGCCTAGTCTACAGAGTGAGTTCCAGCATAGGCTCCAAACCTACACAGAGAAACCCTGTCTTGAAAAAACAAAAACAAAAACAAACAAACAAAAGAAATAGATGGAAAGAGGAAAAGAATTTGTATTGTTTACATGCAGATGAGCAATGTCTACAGGTGCTCTGTATGTTGCATAGTTTATTGCTTGTATTATTACTTTCTTTTTTCTCATGTGCTTTTCCTACCAGCTTTGACTGAAAATATTTTGTATGTGTCCATACTGTAAGCCATCATATTTTTCTAGAGATTTAGTGTGGTGAAGAAACCTTTTATTTCTTCTCGAAGGGTTAGGCACATCAATATTCTAGCTGCTCACTTTCGAGGCCAATGGAAACTGTGCGCCTAAGATTAAATAGACCAGAGTAACACATAAATTCAGTTTTTACGGAGGCAGTGTGTTACTTAGTTACTCACATCCTGAATATCTGATGAGTGTAAAACACCTGTTGGATAACACACTGCTACTGAACAGTCTCTGGCTTAAAATTCAAAGACAGCAAGAAAGGAGAAACTCATAAACAGGTTCTCTACAGAAAGCCCAATCCCAGAAGATGATTTTGCATCTGCAGAGCTCTTTTGTGGAGGATCTGGTCTATCTGTGGAAAACTGGCTTGTAGATGCTGCTCTAAACTGTTTTTAGGACCACTGGAGCAATATACACAGGCATTGCTCTGCAGTGCAGTATACCATTTCTTCCACTCAGACATAGAGTTGTTGTTGTTGTTGTGTATGTGTGTTTGTTTTTATATATAAAACATGACTTAAACTATTATATAAAAGTCCCCCCTTTCACATTTAAGATTCCACATAACTATCAGATGCTTTCCACTCACCCAAAAGGTTTTAAAAAACTATAAATATCTGAACAGTATTAAGTTTGGTTTAAGTAGTTTTGCTCTATTTATCTAGTATGGGCTTAAAACAGTTAGAATGGAGTTGTAAGTAGTCAGAGGATGAAATTTTTCTTTAATTTCAGATAAACAATTATATACATTACACGCACATGTTCAGTAATGAAGATAAATAAAGCTGCATAAGTCTGCCTGCATGTTATCACCCTAAAATCAAGGCAAGTAAAAAGAAAAAACTCAGCCGGGCGGTGGTGG